GGGGGGGGGGTCACAAGAAAACACAGGGTGCTCTAGGGCACGTGGCTGAAGTGTAACAATGAGTTATGTGAACGGCGAGCCGTATGTCGCTTCATAATTTAAGGTGGTGTCAATCCGAAAAGCGGTCTCCTTATGGGCCGTGGCGCTGATCGGGAGAATGGTCTACAGTACCGGTACACTGGGAGAAGGCATAAGTGACAATGGCCAAGGGCCTGAGAGGAGACCCGGGAATGTATCCTCGGAAATGAATGCACCCGCCTCCTACCTCTAACACCCGTCCCTTCTACAAAGGCAAAGCGCTGGCATGCTTTGGCAACACTGGTCTAGCCTGCTGAGGGTCAGACATTCCGAACCGAGGAGATCAGGAAGACGCCGAGCTCATCCAGAGGAGCCCAATGCCAGCTCACCTGTCCCGGGAAGTCGCTCTTTTCCCCCATGACGACTCCCGGGGACGACACCTCTTCCGGCTCCCACTCCTCCTTAATCCTGGTGAGTTTGGGGTTGCTGATGATGGCGGATGGAAGAGCTCTGCTGCTCTCCGACAGCCGGGTACCGAAGCCACGGATCCCCAGAGCTTTGTACCGGCCACCTGTGTTCGAGGAATCCTCCTGACCGTACGAGTCGTCCTCTGTTCACAGGAGAAAGTCATATTGTGAGAGGACATAAACACCAACAAACATACATCCTTTCTTATTAGAGGCGTCACTCCTCCTCCACATACTACCCCCATCATACCCTCCGCACTCCTCTCCATACTACCCCCATCATACCCTCCACACTCCTCTCCTCTACATACTACACCCATCATACCCTCCACACTCCTCTCCTCCACATACTACCCCCATCACACCCTCCTCTACATACTACCCCCATCATACCCTCCACACTCCTCTCCTCTACATACTACCCCCATCATACCCTCCACACTCCTCTCCTCTACATACTACCCCCATCATACCCTCCGCACTCCTCTACATACTACCCCATCATACCCTCCCCACCCCTCTCCTCTACATACTACCCCCATCATACCCTCCACACTCCTCTCCTCCACACACTACCCCCATTATACCCTCCGCACTCCTCTCCTGTACATACTGCCCCCTGTCATACACTCCACACTCCTCCTCCACATACTACCCCATCATACCCTCCACACTACTCTACATACTGCCCCCTGTCATATCCTCCACACTCCTCTCCTGTACATACTGCCCCCTGTCATATCCCCCACACTCCTCTCCTGTACATACTGCCCCCTGTCATATCCCCCACACTCCTCTCCTGTACATACTGCCCCCTGTCATATCCCCCACACTCCTCTCCTGTACATACTGCCCCCTGTCATATCCCCCACACTCCTCTCCTGTACATACTGCCCCCTGTCATATCCCCCACACTCCTCTCCTGTACATACTGCCCCCTGTCATATCCCCCACACTCCTCTCCTGTACATACTGCCCCCTGTCATATCCCCCACACTCCTCTCCTGTACATACTGCCCCCTGTCATATCCCCCACACTCCTCTCCTGTACATACTGCCCCCTGTCATATCCCCCACACTCCTCTCCTGTACATACTGCCCCCTGTCATATCCCCCACACTCCTCTCCTGTACATACTGCCCCCTGTCATATCCCCCACACTCCTCTCCTGTACATACTGCCCCCTGTCATATCCCCCACACTCCTCTCCTGTACATACTGCCCCCTGTCATATCCCCCACACTCCTCTCCTGTACATACTGCCCCCTGTCATATCCCCCACACTCCTCTCCTGTACATACTGCCCCCTGTCATATCCCCCACACTCCTCTCCTGTACATACTGCCCCCTGTCATATCCCCCACACTCCTCTCCTGTACATACTGCCCCCTGTCATATCCCCCACACTCCTCTCCTGTACATACTGCCCCCTGTCATATCCCCCACACTCCTCTCCTGTACATACTGCCCCCTGTCATATCCCCCACACTCCTCTCCTGTACATACTGCCCCCTGTCATATCCCCCACACTCCTCTCCTGTACATACTGCCCCCTGTCATATCCCCCACACTCCTCTCCTGTACATACTGCCCCCTGTCATATCCCCCACACTCCTCTCCTGTACATACTGCCCCCTGTCATATCCCCCACACTCCTCTCCTGTACATACTGCCCCCTGTCATATCCCCCACACTCCTCTCCTGTACATACTGCCCCCTGTCATATCCCCCACACTCCTCTCCTGTACATACTGCCCCCTGTCATATCCCCCACACTCCTCTCCTGTACATACTGCCCCCTGTCATATCCCCCACACTCCTCTCCTGTACATACTGCCCCCTGTCATATCCCCCACACTCCTCTCCTGTACATACTGCCCCCTGTCATATCCCCCACACTCCTCTCCTGTACATACTGCCCCCTGTCATATCCCCCACACTCCTCTCCTGTACATACTGCCCCCTGTCATATCCCCCACACTCCTCTCCTGTACATACTGCCCCCCCGTCATCCCCTCCACACTCCTCTCCTGTACATACTGTCTGCTTTCTATCCCATTGAATGGAATTTGGCCTACAACTAGCGGCATGACTGTGGCACAGATTGGCACAATCATGGTCAGAGGCTGACATTGGTGGCTCAGCATCTCTGCCAGGCGGCGAGTATGAAGTTGACCAACAGGCTATAACAGATCACACGGCTGCTGTTCAGTCGACAAAAACTGAGCAACCTCCACGTGTCCTCCATCATTGGTTGCAACGCACCCTCTTTCTTTATGGTGACGCCGTTGCTCCGGCAGCCATTCAGCGACGGTTCCCCCCTCAGGGCCTTGACCTGGGCAGAGAGAATGGAGGCCATGCTGCTCCCCAGTGGCACGGGGCTCCTCAGCGGGGAACGCCCCAAGATCTTCCTCTGCGGCGGCAGCCCGGCGGCCATCTTAAGGTGCTTCATGATGCCGCGGATCCTGGACTCCCCCACGGGCAGGTTCTTGAACCAGCGGGCGTAGCCAGGCCGGCAGTCGGGCTGAGGCGTCAGGTAGAAGGGGGCGTCCTCGCACTTCATCTTCTCCGGCCTCTCCACCGAGTACTTCTCGTAGGCCTTCACCACGTCGCGGTCCGGCTGCTCGGGACTCTCGTAGATCTGCATGCGCATGGTGTGCGAGGGGTGGAAGCGGGCGCCGCCGCCGCCCCCCCGGCCCGGCGACAGCTTCTTGGTGTGCTCCAGGTACTTGCGGCCCTGGGCGTCGGCCTTCAGGTGGATGTCGCCCCACTTGAGGTTGTGCTGCTCCATGGTGCGGAGGCTGAAGTGGAGGCCGATGTTGAAGAAGAGCATGTAGAGGAGGGCGGTGGGGTTGTGGAGGCCGATGGCGCCGGTGGCGTAGAGAAGCTCGATCTCGCGCTCGGTCAGCGGCTCGGCGTGCTGCGGGTGGCTCCCCTTGCCCACGGTCTTCAGGTAATTCTGCTTTTCCTTCATGGCGGCCACCGTCCTGAGGAACTTGGTGTCGCGGGAGCGGTAGATGGCGTGGGGGTAGCCGCACCTCTCGAAGTGGCGGTCCAGGCTGCCCAGTATACCGCGCAGGGTACCCGGCTCGTACTCCGAGCCGTCCTGCTTGCGATGGGTGTGGATAAAGTTGGCCAGGTGGGCGTCCAGCTCCTCCACGGGGATAGAGAGCATTGGGCGCTCCTCGCGGGCTCGCTGCAGGTAGGCCTGGACGATGCGCAGATCAAACTTGGTCTTCTTCAGGGTGTTCTTGTTGTCTGGTTGCTGCCCGAGTTCCTCCATCTTCACAACCAGGGAGGACCCCGGTGACGTCATCGTTAAATGGGCCTAGTGCGGGTGTGACGTCATTGCAGCCCTTAGGGGGCCGTAGTGTGTAGAGGGGGTGGTCGGGCTAGGCGGTGAAAGGACCAGTGACGTAACAGCCCAGGTCCCGTTACTTTTCCCTACCGCTCCTTCTCAGCAGACGCACTTCCCGTTCGAAGGAGATCCCGCGATAGCTACTGAGGGTACTGCGCAGGCGCGAAACTGAGGCCAGCGGTTTGGCCTACACTGCGCAGGCGTGGTACTCTAGAACGCAGGCTGGTATGTACTGCGCAGGCGCAGACTGACGACATTACGCACACGTAGATCCCAAGTTGAAGCCATCGAGGTACGTGACCTTGTTTTACGCAGGACGTATTTGTTAACTACAGAGTTCACGCATGCGCTGTTCTGTCAGTGAGGCCGACAGAGCAGAGGGCAGCGCGGCCTTTAGCCTTTCCTTAATATGGCGGACAGTTGCAGTGTATTATTTCAAAGAAGAGCACTCAATACAAATAAATATTTCGAGTTCCCATAGCTGGCCTGGCTTTTAAAAATGTCATTGAATTGGGTTATGTATGGCGGCTCTTACATTGTATTTCTATTCAAATTTCTAGAAGTCAGTCTAGGCCGAAACTGAGCCTGTGGTTTGCCCATGGAGGAAGCCATCCCTCACCTGCACCGTCATTCTTCCTTCCCTTCTCCCCTCCGAAAGCCCTGTCAGTTTTGCGCGGCTTACAGTCAGAGCTTACACTGGGCTCTGGATTTCCTGTATGATAGCACTGATTGGCCCCGCCTTTTATCATAGAGGAAGTCACATGATTTCCAATACCCGGAAGTAGAACGTTTATGCTCTCAGCATTCAAAGTATATGGTGGGAAGCATGGAATGAAACCTGATTGGGTGACACACAGTTTTGCTTTAATCCACCTAAAATAAAAATGGAACTGAACTATAAAAGCCAAACCCAACACAAGGCAGACAGAGGGTGATGGGCTTGTCAATAGTAAACGGCTCCTTCTGAAAACGCCGCTCACCTGGCTGCCCTTTAACTCTTTTGGTGCCATACATCAGCATCACGTGGCCCCTGTAAACAGAGCCACTGGGAGTGTGGTTACGTATGTTAAGCTGACTGTCGGGCTGGTGAATGCGTGCCTCCCCTCTGCCTTTCTTCGCTGCCCCTCCTGCAGCCCGGGAAGCCGGGTGGCGAGTCATTACATACTGCCCGGCTAATCAGGAATACAGGTGGTGAGTCATTACACATCGCCCGGCTTTCCTAATAGGACCTACCGGTATCGACGAGCACCGGAAAAAAAATATCGGTACCCGATACTGAAAAAGACGGTATCGATGCATCCCTAGTATTTAATAAATGAGACATTGACTGCAATACCAAAGGACTCCATTTTTAAATTTAGGAAGGTCTGAATAAAGAAATTGAAAAAAAAAACATGGAGCTTGGTGATGGTGCACGAGAGATACATTAAAGGAGAACTATGAGGGGGGGTGGGGGGAGTGCTTTTCACTCACCTCATAGTTCTAGCCGACCTGTGACAATGAGACTGTCACAGGTCGGCTCAGTAGATCGGGAGTAGTAATGGTACCGTACTGTAATGTGTACCTGTAAATTGTACCATACTCTACCTCGCTGTCCACTGTCTGATGTCCGCACTGCTGGTACCGCTGTCCGGTACTGTGACAGGAGGAGTGATACCAGATAACTTTGGATTGTTGTACATTTTGTTGCACATAAAAAAAAAAGACATCCCCTGAAAATAAGACCTTGTGTGTTTTTGTGGGGCAAAACAAATATAAGACAGCGTCTTATTTTCAGGGAAACACGGTATATCCTCAATTATGAATGAATGGGAAGTGATCTACATCACATCTACATCACTTCCTGTTCATTCATAATTGTGGTTATAGTAAACACACTCTGTCCTCGTGTTATCAATGAAAAGGAACACTCATAGAGGATTCCTGTTCTAGGAGTATGGGACCAGGGGTGGGGGCAGCTGTGAGCGAAATTTGTCTTCACTTCATTAAACCTAATTTATTATTAAGACAATGGCTTGTGTAATCAACCGAAAAGAGGGGGGTAGATGCAGTTCGGCATATTAATCCCTGTCCATTGATGACGTTGGTATTAACGGAATCCTTCAACGGAAACACCTGATCTCAGTCATTTGGACTTTTTAGTCCGTGGCGCCAAAGTAGAAAAATGTTATCAATCTGTAAGAATATTATGACCAAAATGTTAGCAAAACCAAACAATGAGAAATAACAATACGCGTATAACATGTTGCAGTTGTGCTTCACCATTTCTGCAAGCTTTAGGGAAGCCGAGATAAGTGTCAGCAAGTTTACTACACAGTCATGTGGTCAGGGCCGGTGCTGCCACTAGGCAAACTAGGCAGCCGCCTAGGGCGCAGCCTTGACCATTAAGGGGGGGGTTCCGCCACAGGAGGGGGGGTGCAAGTAGCTGGTCTTGCCTAGGGCGCACAATAGTCTAGCGCCGGCCCTGCATGTGGCCACCCATCAAAAACACGTCCGTGACCCAATATGATCCTGAAACATTCTTAAAGGAACACTGGTTCCTTTAAGAATGTTTCTGTACCTCTCATTGCATGATTAGGATCATATTCCTTGCCCGATGCTGACGCCACATGTGGGTCCCTTCACCTATCACCGTAGAAGAGTGAAGAGCAGGCGGGAAGACCTTCCTGGGTGACAATAATCATCTCTAGAAGTCAGGGCCCTCGTGTTTGGGTTCATTTTACTGACATCTGATGGGTATTCTTGTAGTACGAAGGCTGGTGGACATCATTGGTGACCTCTACGTTTTAATATATAGTAGTCCCCTGGTGGTTATGCTGATCCAGCATCTTTACTTCTATGTAAGTCACTGGTTAGAAGCTCTGACTTCACTATGGCTCCCTTGATATGGGTGATTGCTGCAGATGATCTGCATTCTAATGTTTAAAGGAGAACTATGAGGGGAGTGAAAATCACTCCTCCTCATAGTTCGAGCCTCACTTCTCAATCATCTCCCTGCAGAGAGCCGCCGTGACTGTCAGTCACCGCTCCCTGCAGGGATTGCCCCCCTCCCCTGTCCGATCCTCCAGCGCTCACTGGAGGAAAGGACGGGGGAGGGGGCGGGTACAGCTGGCTCTGCCTCTAGATAGGTAGAGCCAGCTGTCACTCACACAGCTGGGTGGTTCTCAACAGTAATGTCGGGATCCGTCCCGGCTGCGGCGCTCTTGCCGCAAGCTGTACCTCACGATATACTGAGCTTTGGGTGACTGGAGGACGCTAGTTTATATCCTCCCGTGACCCTGAGGAGAACTATGGGGGAAAACACTTACCTCATAGTTCTCCTTTAAATGTATAAGTCAGGGACAGCCAAGCAAGTTGCATTTTCCAGAGGAGGTGAACAGCAATGAGCATCACCTGCTGCATTAGGTTAACTCATTTCTCTTCAAGAAGAGCATCAAATGTTTAGTTCCTGACACCCTGGAAAATGTTGTACCGGCCCTCTCCACTATATTATCCAGCACAGTGAGGCCCCATTTACACTGAGCGATTTATCGCGCGGTAATTCCCGCGATACCACGGCTATTTACCGCGCGATATCGCTCTCCAATGCATCTCAATGGGGCTCTGTCCGTCGCTGTCGCGGGTCGTGCGTCGCTACAGCAGGACCCTTTTTGGAGCTGATTTAGCCGCGATTCAAGCTTGCTCAATGCGAGAATTTGCGCGATATCGCGCGACAAACGCGCCATATCGCGCAATTTGCGAATCGCTCAATGTGAATGGGGCCTGAGGGTTCCTACTGCAACATGGGAGCTTTTCTTTCCTGGTTCAGTCCTGGCTTGGCTATCATATGCTGTAGAGGCGTGTTCAACCACAGCTTGTACCTGTTGGGTAGTAGCCAACCACAGGGTAAAACACTGTCCTTGAGGTCACATGGGCAGAGCAGATGTGGGTATGCACCACCGGGAAAGGGAAAAGAAGTATCTGATACCAATTTCATGCTTATTATCCGAGGATCCTGCTAGTAGATATGTTGTTTTTCAACTTGCTTTTTGTAGCTCAAGCTGTCCAGCAAAATTGGCAATTACAGGGATTGGGACAAACCACACTAGTAGGCGTCCTTGCAATGGTCAGCTTTTATTCAAATGGTTTAAACTAGGGATGCACCAATACCACTTTTTTAAGACCGAGTACCGATACTTTTGATCAAGTACTCGCAGATACCAATTACCGATACTTTTTCTTAAAGGGACAGGTCACATTTTTTCTAAAGCAATACAAACTAATGCTTTAAGGTCACTTTCTTAATATTATGATTCACGAGATGACGAGGGAGCATGACGCCGGCTTCCCGGCCAATCAGAATGCCGGTCATGCGTCATTACACAGCGCCCGGCTTCTGGATTTGCTAGCTTCCTGACTAATCGGGAAGCTGGGCAGCGCGTCATTGCACGCTACCCGGCTTCCTGATTGGCCGGGAAGTCGGCTCCATGCTCTCTCATCACAAGTGACGAGAGAGCATGGAGCCGTTTCCTGGCCAATCAGGAAACCGGGCAGCGTGTAATGATGTGCTGCCCGGCTTCCTGATACAGGAAGTACTCGTGCTAGGTATCGGAGCATTTGGGCGAGTACGAGTACTCACCCAAATACTCGGTATCGGCACCGATACCGATACTAGTATCGGTATCGGTGCATCCCTAGTTTAAACCTTTTATTCCAATTAACAACAAAAAAAAACTCTTGCTGCAACTACTTAAAAAGTGTTATCTAGAGTCCGGCTTTAATTTGTCTCTTTAAGTCCATTTAGGTCTCATTCACACAGCTAAGAGTCGGCCCGTGCCGATCCGTGCGGTGTGCACGGCCGTTCCCGGGAGGGACAGGTGCTGCGTGTGATTGTACGCAGCAGCCTGTTCTTCTCTGGGAGGACACGGCCGTATGCCGCCGTACGCTCACCCGAGCTGCACATCCGTGTCCACGCTCAGACGCAGACAGGATGGATCCTGTCTGCGTACGAGTACGGACACCCGCACGGATGTGCAGCTTGGGTGAGCGT